GGCGTCATCAGAGGGTTTTTGTGGACGTCAGATGTTCTGCGACTCTTGGCGCTTTCAAGACCGAGATTGACAGAATTGATCTTGCTGTTCTGTCCAAGCAAGTCCATTTTACAAATTAATTCTTTTAGTTGCAAACAGATCCCTTGCGGCGTCATCTGTACGGGACAACCAGAATTTTGGCGATTGTACAGTAGCCAGCAGAAGCAGGATTTTTTTTTTATCCACGTCGCTACTCCGTGTAATTTTGAGCACGTGGCTGCTCCTAAATGGATACTGCGCTTATCTTGAGAATAGCATCCACAGTAAAATGTATCTTTTCAGAGGCCTACATTTAAAGGTTTTGATTTTTAAAAGATATTAAATGGATTCACTAACGGCGACAACTACATTAGAATTGTAGAAGCATGGCGGACACAATAGGAGGGCGCAATTTGATGTGGGTAAATGCGGAGCAAACACAAAAGATTTTACCCAAACCAAATAACGCCCTTTTACTGTGTCCACCATGCTTCTAAAAGGCTAATGTAGTTATCTCTCCAAGAACAAAACTTTCCAACCCCCCCCGCAAAAATCTTTGATCCTCCGCTGAAACAAGACAGCCGACTAACTGCAAAGTCTAGCAATTTCCCGTAATTATCGATGAGAAGGCGGATCATCATCGGTAAAGGCAACGGCTGACCAGTATCCTTCCAACGTCCAGCCCTGCAGTGGTCAACTGTCAGTCTATTACACTGTTGAAACATTTGTTAGCCTCATTTTAAATTGCACAAGACGGTTCTTCACATTACTAGCAAGCCACGGTGTTTGATGTTTGGAACGGGGGCGCGGTTATTGTTCTCGTTGGCGATCTCCGATTCAACACCCTGAAAATATGTCAGTGCCATTAAATTCTTACTTAAAAACATCATAATCTCAAATTTCTCGTTTCTCTTATCTGGTGACCATACAGGGTGTTCAAATAGTATACGTTTAGAAAATGTTTACAATATTTCTATATTGTAGATATTAGTCTCCAGAAATCTTTCATTATGTATCGACAGACCTTGCTTTGTTTGCCATCACATACTTAGCCGTTCTGTGTGAGTGAGCACCGGCGATTTACTTTTTCCAAATTTAAATTCGCTTGTTTCGCACAGAGGTTAAAGGGTTAAAACAGAATTACAGACCGTGGTTGTAAATTTCGAGTGACCCTCATCATTATCCAGAAGGATGAAACCCTCTTAAGTAACATTTTTAATATGTAAAACTCACGGCAATGTGCAAGATCAGATCATTGGAAATTCGTGTGTCGGGTGTTCATTTCCATGGACCATTGACTTTTTTCGAGGACAAATTCAAGGTCCAAAGATAGTTGGTGTATGGAGGGCAAACAGTTAATTCAATTTGTTTGGCAATTTAGGAGAAACAAAGCACAGGCCCAAACTTTGCAACCACGGTCTATAATTCTGTTTTAACCCTTTCACCTCTGTGCGCAAGCCAATTTAAATTTGGAAAAAGTAAATCACCTGTGATCACTCATGCAGAACGGCTGGTGATTGATGTGATAGCAAACAAAGCAAAAAAACCAAAGGTCTGTGGATCCGTAATAAAAGATTTATGGAAACAAATCAAACTTTTATTTTGTAGACAACTGTCTAAATTTATACTTTTTTGAAACACCCTGTCTTAGTCGCAATAATGGTTGTTCGTGGAAAAGCATGTGGAATAATATTACATGTACATTTCTTCATCTCAAAAACTGTAAATAAGGACCTGTCCGTTGAAAAAATATTTTTTAAATTAAACTGTTTTTATACGAAAGCGTATGAGTGCCACTTGCAAAAAAAAATTTTTTGAGATACGATCTCGCCGCGGCGACTAATTGTCTCGCCGCGGCGAGATAATAACGGCGAATTAGCTAAAACTAGCTCAATTCGCTGCACAATAAAACTCAGGCTAGATACCAAACCCATTTATTCTGACTACTCTTCTAATCAAGGGTCCTGTATCACCCAATGTCCACGTGACCAACACTCCCCCAGATTTCTTGGAATAGAATTTCCGGAACTATTCCGATATTATCCTGTGCGTATTAAATTCAGTTTAACGTCAACACTTTTTTACTAATGCTCCAAAAATTGTAAAAACTGTTACAAAGATTAAAATGAATAAAATTGGTAGCCAAATGAGTAAAGGGAGACGAAAAGGACCATTCGGATTGTATCGGTAATATTCGGGTATCTCCAGCAGCGTCTGTACTAAGAATTTTGTGAACTGTCCGGGTTATATCGGTCGGAGTACTCCCCAATTACGAAGCAGAACTAGGGTTGAAAAGATTGGAGCATGCCTTGATAAATGGAAAGCATTTTTTTAATTGAACGTGTTTTAAAGCGAATGTCATTTTCAAAACTTCGTAATTTAAAAATTTGGAATATAGTTTTGAAAAGCAGAACGAAATTGTAAGGATTTAATACATGTTTTCTAGATTTGAATAAAGTTAGACAGAGTAGATGAATTTTCATTGACGCAGCGTATTTTCTAGATTCCAAGGAATTTTAAAAGAACGTAAATTTTTTCAAAGTCAAAAAAAAAAAAGACTGCAACGAAGTTTTAAAGTTCAAATTTTTTCAGATTGAAATAAAATATTTTGAACAGAATAGATTGAACATATTTTGGAAATGGGAACACTTTTTAAGCGTAAAGCAGCTATTCGGTGCACGTATCTTACACAATATCTCATGCCATCCTAAATGACAGAGCATCCAAATTAACATAAATCCAAATTAATAAGCAACGACGAATAAAAGCAACTTGTGGAAACTTCATTAGAACAATCTTGGAAAAATATGATTCACTTTTCAAAACAATATACTTCAAGCACTGTGAGGCTTTCGCAGAATACCGTCTAAAAGATCGAATACGTTGTATACGCGGCTGTGGATGCGTTCTCAATTCGGATGCTTTCTCAGATCGGAAGAGTTCTTAATTCGGATAAAGTGAGATTCCTGTAAATAGATAATTACTTTGTAAAAAATGTCTAAATTTCGATAAAATTTGTACATTGTAAAATTTTTGTTATTTTAAAAAGAATTTCGACGTTTAAAAATTCATTCAATCCTAGAGATTACGTTGCATATAAAAAATTCATTTGCGCTTTAAAAAAATCACCCGATTTTGATTCTAAAAAAAGATATGAGATCCTTAAGATTTTGTTCGGTTTTTGAAAAATATATACTAAACTTCTAAAATACGAGCTTTAAAAATGACATTTGCTTAAGACACATTAAATTTGCAACTAAAATGCATTCAGTTTAACAAATTTATGTTCCAATTTTTTTATCCTAATTTCTACGTTGCAGTGGATGGTGTATTCCGATTGGTATACCACAGACAGTTCACAAAATTCTTGGTACAGACGCGGCCAGAAATGCCCGAATATTAATGATACTATGCTAATGGTCTTTTTCCTCTCCCCTTCCATTTGGCTACCAATTTTAACCTTTGTAACGATTTTTACAGTTTTGAGGAGCATAGAAGAAAAGGTTTTGACGGTAAACTGAATTTAATATGGGCAGGATAAGTTCGGAATGGTTCGACTAATCCCGGAAATCTTGGGGAGTGTTGGTCACGTGGATTATGGGTGACACAGGATCCTATACCCGGCAAGAAATGAGACCGAGGGGTACCCCCCAACATGTCCAATCCCTATACATATTCCAGACTATTGTTACTTAGCACATCCCCCCAAGATGTCTGAAAGGAATTCCCCAGATTCCAGCGAGACAATGACCAACACAAAGCAGGGGGGGGTTCTCTCCGTCTCATACCTTGCTGCATATGTAGGACCCTTGATAAGAAGAGTAGTCGGAATCATTGGGTCTGGTATCCAGACTGAGTATTAATATGCAGCGAGTTGAACTAGTTTTAGCTAACTCGCCGCGCTTTAGCTAACAAACTACACGCCACACTTGGTATAGTGTTTCTGCTTCTGCGAAAAATCCCCTACCTTTATCTTTGTCGCAAGACATTCTAACGTGTGACGTAGTCTAGCCATTGCCTTCGAGCCGAATTTGATACTGTTGATGACAAAGACTTCATTCAACACATTTAGGTGGTTGTCGAATTCAGACCTCACTTGCTGCAAAATGGAATCGGCAGCCGTCTTTCCTACATGGCAAAGAAGTTACTTCAAACCTTTAGAGAAGGGGTGATATTATAGTCTTTTAGTTTCTTATCCCTTATCCGTAGCGTTTATTTGCAGACACAAACTCACCCATACCCAAACTCACTTCAACCTTGAACCGACTACAGAGGTTTTTCACATGACGTAATATGACAGGCAAAGGCATTTTAGGAAGCGTACCAGGTCCCTGGAGACGCGTGCATGTGCGAATCTAGGTATTTCAACTGGCAATGTGATGTACGCAAGAATGTTGAGAGACTTCGAAGGCGCGGGTTTCCCTGCACATCTTTGTATATTGAACGCTGACCGTCAAATATCACTTGAATTGAAAATCCTCTATCCGGTTCGTGACTTCGCCATGCAAGCGGACGCGCCACTGATTGCAGACTTCCAGTGGACAGACACTAAAGTTGCGTGTTATCTCCCAGTTCCATGTTCCATATAGCTCTATGTGCAGCGGGCGTTGTTTAAACTGAAGTGACGTGACACTTATGAACCGGATAGCGAAACCTTCAAACAAACGCACCGGATCGCACTCTGATAGAAACCTCCTGGTTTGCTTTTAAGCATGAAATCATAACAAACTGCAAACTAGAATAAAACTGATACAACGTGCAAGAAGAAAAAAGAGACACTTTCTTGCTACCCCATAAATTAGAAAGGTGTTACGTAATTCATTTCAGAAGACGCATCCTACCAGCGTAGCCCCTTTTCAACCCAATGAGCATAGAGCTCGTACATTAATTTAATGCACTAAATCCGTAAAAGGGAAGCGGTGACATAATATGATAAAGAGAAATACAATATTTTAGATTTGGATTAGTTACCGTCTGTTTCGCTGGTCATCTGGTCGAGATGGGTTGCCACAATGACTACGTCAGGCTTGGTTTGGTAGGCATAGTCATGCCCAGCCTTCACAAATGCCAACCACCTGCGTAACTGGTAAGTTCAGATGTATAACTGCTAACGTCAATGGGAAGTTATTATTTTTTTTACGAGACAGTAGAAAGTTTTAATATTGCACTCTACATAATCTACAAGCAAAAATGGTTTGCGGAGAGTCTGTTGGGGGTGTGAAAATATTGAGGGGTGATCTTGCTATCCTGAGGTGGATCTTAGCAACTCGCCTTCCCATCTCAGTAAATGTTACATACATTGTAAATTAGGGCAAGTGAAAGATCTAGGCCTACGTTTGAAATTCAGCAACAATTTTGGCATTTTGTATGTGTATTCTCTTTTTTTATACACCTCCAAAAGAAAAAAAACCCAGACACATTGTTGAATACATGTACAGTGTATATTGAATTATTCGATTTTTTTAAACGTGTCGTGAGGCATGCAGATTGAACATTCACTTTTTTCAGGGTAGGCATTAATGACCAGAACGTACTTCACCGAGTTGGTTTGGTTTGGTGATGTCGTAAACTAACAGATATATACAGTTTTGGGCTCCCAGGAACATGGCGTGAGTCACATGGTACTCCAGCTGCCCAGCGCAATCCCAGAAAGCGAAGTTGCCTGCCCCTGGTATGTATACTTTGCACAGCTCAATGCCTGGAGTGGCATTGTAGACATGACAATCGCTCGCCAAACTCTGCCACTCTCCGGGCAACCACCGCTGCGGCCTCTACATATTAGCAATTTGAACAGAAGTAGTATACTGTCCTTAATGCTGAAAACCTGTGCAAAACATTTTAAGCAAATCAAAATTGTTGTTTTGTGTACCCGATCCCACACTCCACAGCTGTACATAACCGGGGTTTTATTAAGCAAAACGCGTTCGGAGCCTGCCAGTATGACCTTATGATAGGCACAAGAATTCATAACATCTTTAGAATACTACGAAAAGAATGGAAAAAGAGGTTCGAGCTGACATGAGTAGTTTCGTGGATAAGTATTGATGGGGTCTATGGTTGAATTCCAAGATGGTACTTTGTTAACTCTTTTTCCCCGTGTCTGTTTCCCGTTAGAAAAAGATCATTTAGAAAGGTTGTTTAACTCACTCTCCGAATTACGGGTCTTGAATTTTGCTTATTCAAGAGAATAAAAACTCTGCTCAATGCCTTACCGACTTTGAGCCCCCCTTATTAGCTTGACACGCAAAACAAATATCACACATTTCGTGGTAATATATTACCGGCAAGCTTCAAAGATGGCACTTAGCTTTGAAATCCTCGTTTATTAACATTGGTGGGTAATTGGATCGGGTGATTTGGTTTTCAGAAATGACATTTGTTAAATGAACTCGTGAATAAATCTGAGTCACTACTCCTTATCATAACACTAAAATAATTTGGTCATCGGTCTTGGGTAAGTCTAAACGTCACTGTACAAGAAAGAACTTTTCAAGAAAATTGAAGGTGCTACCTTGATCAAAGCTTTTCGCAGGGTTGTCTTGCCTGCCTTGGGATCGCCGACCAGAAACAGCTTCACAATGTTGACAGGCTCAGTCCCCATTTGAATTAACTTGTCGAATTTTTGCTTCTATTACCAAAAGTTAAACGTGGGCCTTGTTTAGAATTCTTAGAAATTCGAAAGCTGAGGCGATGCATCCATGATAGTTTTTAACGACCAAGTCTATCAGTCATTGGATTATTCAAATGTTCTAATGGATTTAGTAATTCACTGTACCATGTTATACCGTCTTCCCTCACGCAAATAGTTAGCTGTATCTGATGCCTCCCTGAGACACTTTTAGAAGCGAGGAAGTTTCTGCACATTAATCCCCACCTTTAGTATGTGCCAGACGAACAGGATTTCACTGGATTTTTGTGTGTTAAAGCACGACAGAGCATTAATACTCATGTAGAGATAATTCATTTTTGTTGACACAAAACTTGAGAAATATTTATGCAAAGAACAAATTCCCAAGATATTGACTAAAACAAAGTTGAAAAACAACAGCGGAAACTCTCTCGTCTGGAATCGAATGAGTGTGTAGAATGTTCTCTTCATTGATGAAGAGCTGAGACTATAGACGACTTTGAAGAAGGAACGCGTAATTGGTATCGTTTTAATTGTAAAAACACACACACATGATTTAATCGATTTTTCGAATTATGAGCTACCTGTTTCACATTTATCAAGGTTAATCTAGACCCGGTATACCTTTTCTGCCTGGGTAATAATCTTGCCAGCATTACCGGATGTACGTGGCAAGACACCTTTGGGCGTGTGTCCGTCCTGCAATGAACACAGTAATATCACTTTCACTCAAATGTGCCTATCCATGAATATTGTGAGATAATATGGGCCAGTTTGTGATGCACACTCGAATTAAACAAATACAAGTTTGCGTCGTTAGATTTAAATATGGGAAAATAAGCCAGAACACCTAATAAAAATATGCTTAACAATTATTACAAACCTTTGAAATTGATTCGTTTGAATGTCTTATTATTGTAAATGCAAATTGTAGACTTTGCAGTTTATAATACTGTAAACCTGACCTCCGTACTGACATTTACACTCCGTTTAAAGGATAGCCGCAATCATTTTTTTTAATACTAACCTCAAAAATGTACCTTATTTCCTACTTTTGTTTCATATTTTCGAAGGGTACTTTACCACTTTGGTTTTTATGCAAATGAGATTTCCATATTCATAAGCAAAACTGTTACGTCATCTCAGGAAGAAGCTTCAATGTTACATTGGTTTGCACACAAAAAAGGCCTGGATTTCTGCAGACTTTCCTGGACTCAGTTTTCTCTTCTTTGCTAATTCATTGTTAATGTGCATAGCAATAACAAAGCATCAGTCCTTCTCTCAGAGATGTTTTTAGTTAGTATATTCTGGGTTCACAATTTGAACACAAACACCTATGTACTTAACCGTGTCTTCCTTAGATGACTTCATGGCAACGGTGGCCTAAGATGTCTGGGAAAGTATGGGTAATTTAATTGTTTAAAGCATTCACTTTTCAATGCATGAAACGATAATAAGAAAGTAAAAGAGCTTTCATTCGTTAAAGAAGAATACAAAGATGAAGAAAAAGTGAGTGTACAAAATTAATTGCAGCTACACTTAAAATATGTATGTTTCTATGGAACCAATGGTCCACGGTCCACCAAGCACTACCAGAAAGCACACACGTAAAGTGTATTGGCAGTGGTGTGATCATGTCTTACATTATTCCTGAGAAGAACATCTGCATTCGCTGCAATGAACAATTCACAGATGCTTGCATGTGCAGTGCTTGCCGCTACATGTAACGGAGAGTTGCCAATCTGTAAACAGGCAAGGAGGAAAGCGGTGACAATCTCCTACTCGTTAACTGAACCATAAAACTATCACTATTGGTCATCTGTGTCAATGTTGTGATTGACAATGGCGTTCAGTCATGCATGACAGGAGGGATACCATCAAGGTATCATTAGAAAGAATACTGCTTCTACTTTTCGTAGATCCTTATACATTATAATCATATCTCATGGGTTGGGCATATTAACCCCTTTTCTCAGGGTTTTGTTTTTTCTGGGACACCCTGTATAGCTCTGTGGGTGGCCTCGTGTTCCGATAAGAAAAAGTTACGTGTAGGGTTCTATCCTGCGTCGCTTCCTAGAACACGAGAGGCGACGACACAGCTTCAAGTTGACTGCCCTTTGAAGACTTATAGAGAAGTTGCGGCATGCTGTAGCTTCCATGGCAGCACACATGAGGTGTCGTGTACTACCGTTGCGTCCCGCGATGCACTGGTCGTCCTAAAAGATATTTGTGCTATGTTTGTGCCTGGACATCTACCTCTCCTGTCGCCCGTCAAGTTCCACTGTTGCACTGAACTCTCACAGAGGCAGACCAGTGACTTAATTCTTGTGAGCTTTCTTTAACTTGTTTTTGTTCGTACCCCAGAAAACAGTGGTTTTATTTGTTGGGAAGTGTAAGGGATAGTTAAACACTACAGGCAAGAAAGGACTAAATTTAGACACGGAAATATGTACATGTATTATGGATGCATGCACGATGCATGAGAAAACTTGTCTGGCGTAAGCAATGGAGAAGCAGTGGTGGCATGATGTGACGACACGGCGTACAGAATCCGTCGTGCTACCACGTCACGTTTAGTTTAGGTGATAATCTTGTCGAAGACATAGTGCACACATCATGCAGGTGGTACATTTCTGGGAACGCCATATAATCACGGACCCACGGTTCTGCTGATCTGTTATATCTGTTAAAAGGTTTGATCAAACAGGCACAGATCCAGGGGCAAAAAAAAAGTCATGGAATATTTCATAGTTGTTTCCGCTTGTCCGCGAAAAAAACTGAGACATTAAAAACCTCCAGCCTTACCCTGCCCTGGAAAATTTCCTGGATCCGCCCCATAAAATGAACCAATATTTTTAATGTACGACTATTGTTCCCCAAAGGACAGTTGCAAACCACATCGACCTACATGGGATGCCATTTCCTCAATGAATGTTAGTTCAGTACACTACTATGGAAGCGAATTGCTGCCAATCTCCTTTAAACGACTTATTATCTCGTTTACACGACTTATTTTCTCGTTTAAACGACATTGTCATCTCGTATAAACGACATAGTTGTCTCGTTTAAATGACATGGTTATCTCGTTTAAATAACATGGTTATCTCGTTCAAATGACTTTGTATCTCGTTTAAACGACATACATGTAGCTATCTCGTTTAAACGAAATAACTAATTTATTTAAACAAGATAACTATGTAGTTTAAAAGAGATACAATATTTTATTCGCGTTGGCAGCAATACGCTTACATACACTACTGATGCAACGCAGCTTCAAAATCATTGTAAGAACCTTCTCAAGGGCTGATTTTTAGGCAGAATTTACCCGATTCCTGGCGCAAACGTCCCCACCATTCTGCAGTATGACTCGGCAGGCGTCAAGTCTACAATGAGCAGCCGCTGTATGCAACACTGTGTCGCCATCCTGAAATCATATGTTTTCGCAATAATTCATAATGATACTGACTGAAATCGTTTATTTAATCCACACTCGATTTAATTTCGATTTGATTTGATTTCATCACAAACTACCTGGTAAAACAACTCATTAATGCCCAATGTTACTGCCCACTGCATCACCTTGCAATCCTATACAAACGGCCAAAATACTCCCAAAGTTATGCGGTTGGCGGACTTATCTTCAAAACAGTTTCTGAACAGGGATACTTCCGCCAAAAATATAGATTTAGCAATGTAAATAACAGTCGTTGTTATGTGATTATTAGAACCCTGCCTCCGTAATATTAGTAAGCATGACATATAAAATTTGCTAAACACTGAGTGAGGAGCAAAACAAATCTTTCCCAGGACATTTGCAAAGTGAAGTGCATTTGACATTACCTGATTTTTTGCCATTACATCTGCTCCGCCATCCAACAGCAGCTGGCAAAGATAGGCATGTCCCTTTATACAGGCTACGTGCAGGGGCGTATCACCGTTCTGTATATATGCGCACAAATGTTTCCAAGAATAAATGTAATTGCACAGGCTATTCAGTTAGACAGTGAAGTTGAAGACAGTTTTCGTAAGCAATACCGGTACAGCTGTCTGGCTGAAAATCGAATAATTGGAAGTGGCCCGACACAACAGTACTGGTATAGTACACAACACAACAGTACAGCTTTTATGCATTCCTTTCATTCAACGCTACTTGTAAAATTCCCACACCTTAACAATTAAAATAATCCCTTTTTCCCTACTTCTAGAGACTGATTCAATTATTGTTAAGGTAGGAACTCGACTCTGCAGGAGATATAAAACACATTCTATCCGACTATCCCTACAGTAAATAAAAGGCCTTTACATCAAAATGCCAGGCAGGAAACAAAACCTGCCGAAAATATATTATAGCAGGTACCTATCTGAATTGCCCAACAGCTTTAATAGCATGAGGTACGGCCTTGGCCTCAAAAGAAGGGAGAAGAGGGTCGATTAAGCTGCTTTCCATGAAGTAACTGGTCAGATGAATGATGAATGTTCTTTGTCTTATTCTGGGTAGTACTTCGTTCTTTTTTTTGATTTGTTTGGTGGTTTTGGAGGAAATCTATTTGGAACAGTTAATTTTCCCGCCAGAATGTGTACCCTTGAAAATTTGTTTTATTCTTAGGAAACACGCTCACTTTAACATTTGATGTCCATAGGCCATGCTTATTAGCCAGGGTCCATTCGGGGGAGGGGGTGTGGGGGGGGGGACACGTCCCCTTTTCCACCAAAAAAAAAATTAAATACAAGAGGAAGTAGAAGAGGGACGGGGAAGAAAAAAGAGAGATCATACTGCCTGAAATTGCACGACAGAGCGCTTAGAATCAAAAATGCCCCGGACCATACGCCGTAAGGGTTTCGCACTACGCACTCGCATCTTTACCATCGTTGCTTTCGTTCACACCCCCCCCCGGGAAAACTCGGGATCACGCCCCTGTTAGTTATGTCACATAATACGACTATATATTACTCCAAGTTTCGAACGTTGGCATTTGCTATTTAAACCTTGTTGACTAACGGGCATGGATTAGTGGATCCGGTTGTCTTTCCTTCGTGCAGTACCTCTAACTGCTCATGTGGTTGTACAGGGCAACCTGATAAGAGCTTACCTTGTTTCTCGCTGACACGTCGGCACCTTTGTTTAGTAGAGTCGAACAGAGTTTGCCTTTACCACTGCTTGCGGCAAGATGCAGTGGGGTATTGCATTCCTGTATGAAATGGCGTAACGTGTAACCCACGCAAATAATAATCCGCCCCAGGCAAAATATTAGTTCCCCAGGCCGAATAGTAACTCGCCCAAGCAAACGTTTTTTTTCGTAATCTCCTGAATACGCTTCTGGAGAGAGTGTATTCGACACGGCAATCCTATTCATTTCTTTTGACACAGTGTGCATTTTAGAAGAAAGTGTTGGCTGTTTAAAGAAGCTATTGTCTTAAAATGTTTCCTTTTATTTCACATTCAGGTTTTTTTAAGTTTTGGTAAATTAATACTTGAGGGTTTGTGCTAACGAAATTCTTCGTACATCTTTTTACTTTAACTTTCATTCGCTTTTAGTTTTTCTGAGTCACTGGGCTGAATAACTGCTTGATTAAAACAAACTACCCTTCATTGTGCAGAGATAATCTCATCAAGATAAAGGATTGCTCTTTTTTCTGTTCCGAATGTTTCTTACAGTAGAAAGTGCCTACCATAGTGAAAATGTAGTGGTTTAACCAGCTGGATACCTGTAGTTATTTTAACAGCATTTCAAATGTTTCAAAATCTATTTTTCCACTTTTTTATGTAACCTGTTTTATATGTTTAGATAGTGGAAGCGTTTAGAATAAATTTTTGAATGAAATTTCAACACACACCTTATCGATAGCGAAAGGGCTGGCGCCGGCCGCAATGAGTGCCCTGCATGTATCCATGTGACCTGCTTCGGATGCCTCGTGGAGTGCACTACGGCCAAGCTAAAATGAAACAAATGTGATGAAAATAGTTTCAAATTCGTAAAGTAATGCAAAAGGTCTACAGGTAACAGTAAAACTAAACTTATTCTTTAAATTGAAATCAAGTATTTTCGAAAAAAATTACCGATAGAGGGTATATAACACACTGCACAGAGCTGAGTGAACAATCTTGGTGTCAGACTAACGTGCTATCCGATTGAAAAACGGTTAGGAGGTAAACCTGCCCTAAAATGATCCTTTATATGCCTATCATTGTACGGTATCCAACGAGGACATTTAGATGGTAAAGGTGAAAAATGTTATACCTTCCGTCTCGATCCAAATGTGCTTTCTTATTTACAAGTGCCTGGCGGGAAGGAATATCATAATATCTCTTCTCAGCTAAAAAAAAAAAGTACTGGTGGAACAAGTCTCAACCCCGTTTTCAAATGTAGGCATCACCCTAAGATTTTTCCAGGCTTTCTTCGCAATTCAAACCACCTAGAATACCAGATACACATAAAGTGAAATCTACAAACGATTTCATATACTTGCTACCACACCTTGTTTTTCGATGTCACGCTTGCACCGACCCCTATGAGTGCATCGCAGATATGTTTGTTGCCCCATGCGGCAGCCGTCTGCAACGGCGTATCACCAAACTACTCATAAAAGACAGACAAATAAAAGAACAGAGAGCAGTGGTGTAACTACAGGAGGCACGAAGTCGGATGCGAGTGCCTCCCCCAGTTGCACTGCTCCCATTTGAAATCTGTGAATAATCTCCGTTGAGTTTATATAGCTATACAGCTTTAGCCTATTTTCTCGCGGTTTTCTTGAAAGAAAATAATGTGTGCATTCCGGGTACCCCGGACATTTAGCCCTAGTTACACCACTGAGAGAAAGATATGACGAATCTGAAATTAATATGCGAAATATTGCTGGTGTGACGGACAAAGTGATAACCTAACATGGTTATTACGAGATACCACACCCTTATAATTAAGGGTAATGTCTGTAAACATAAACTATGTTTAATAAACGAAAAACACCATGTGTCTTTATACTTGTAATTCAGATTTCTTTTTCAATGCACGCCTTGACTAATATTAGCCATTGAACCGCTTTAAGCAATACGCAATTCTCACCTTTAAATTTGCTTTTACGAGAAGAATATTAATTCAGTACAGAAAAATAAATTACTTTTATAGGGACAGAATTTTAACATTGCGTTTCCCAACGAGACCGAAGGACTAGAACAAACGTTGTTTGATATGCGTGTACTTTGCAAACAACGGTGCCACCCACAAAAAGCTACATTACAATCTTACCCACTGACGGATAAACATTGTATTCCTTTACCTGATCAGTTAGCTCCAGCAATGTACGTGGTGTACGGATCAGTGCTTTGCATATATTGATATGGCCGCTCTTAGCAGTGTAATGTAATGGACTTCTCCCGTTCTGTGGATAAAAATGATGACAAATTGCAGAATCCAAGTTCTACTTTTAATTTTGTTTCAAGAGAAAAAATCCTGCAAATTTTCTCTGAGGCCCTTGACTTGTTCTACATGTATAGACTTTTTTTCACGGACGTGACTAAATTTAAACAATACCACCACGTGTGGACTGCCTTGGCCACGGTGATCGTATATAGTATTCCTACGGGCAGCTTCAACAACGTGCAAGCGCACGTGCGAACGCTGCATGCTTGACTAGTTTATCTTGAATAAATGGATTTCCATCACAACACTATGCACTCATTACCATCACAACACACCAGAGTTCCAGCACGATGGTGACATCACTGGAAAAAGGTCTATAGACAACTGTGACTGCTTCTGGTTTAATATGTGATTATAATGACGTGTATCACCTTAATTTGGATTTTTTGGAGGGTTTACATTAACACAGGACCTACTCCCTCCGTCTTAATTCTTCTTTTACCTTGACATCTAACATTCATGATTATACGCCTTTCTTAATATATATGCTGACGTCACATTTTGTGAACCAAAAGTGAGGCTATAGGCGGCACCAGAAAGTACACACAACGCAAGATGGCGGTGAATTCGAGAGACCTCAGCGTTATCCCCGACACTTACATTTGGGTTTGTTGAACAGTATGTCAAAGGGGGATCAAAAGTACTGGTGGAAAGGAACCTCCTGGTTGCGTGCAATGTTAACGTTATCGTTAGGTATTTGTGTGGGGCCATGCATTCAGGGGCAACCAGGAGCCTGCATCTACGGATATTTTTCTCCATATTAACATCTTACATTTAGGCCCAGTTATTACGCCATATGGAAAGAGTCCCATAGTTATAAGAAGTTCACTTGACGCCCTATGTACAAACCCTATGACTCAGTATGAGACATAGGGTCATGAGACATGGTCTGAAAAATGCCAAGTCTTCATTGGAAATTGCTTGAAGGCCCCATCTCTCAGTGTCACTGCTAAAAACAGAGACCCCTCGTCCCGTCTGATATTCAGTATCCACAGTTTGTGGCGTTTAAGGTCTGTTGGAAATAAACGAAAGCTTCTTTCTGGCGGAGATTTCATTTTGTTTGAGGAGCACATCGGAACTGCGCAGTGCTTCGCGGCCATCTTGAAAGTGTACCGCCCCCAGCCTCGCTTTGGCTGACAAACGTGACGTCAGCATAAATATTAAGAAAGGCGTATGGTGCTTGAAGTAGTGCCAGAAAAGCGTGTCAGTCCAGTTAACCGAATGTCAAAATCTAAAATCAATATTGTTTATCGCAGGATACTGAACTGGAATGGCTTAGTCGATTCTCTTCAATCATTATTATTTTCACTTTTTGTTGTAAAAAGATGAAAGACTCGGGTTTTAGTGACATAATACGTGCTCTTTTAACGAGAAATTGTTTCACACTTGTCTTTTATTTATAAATGTGTATATTTATAAATTTTTATGCAATTTTTATACGTTAAAATTTGTGTCAGAATGACAGCACCGAGTAAATGTCTCTCGTATTCATCAACATGTTAGCGTGGCGCTCTTATGTCGCGTTCCGGATATTGGCATTGAACTGTAAAGGTCTCGTTGATAAAGAGCTGTGAGGGGTCGGATTGGGTGCACCAGCGGTTTTTGGGAGGGAATGCGTACGTAGTTTCGGAACACTGAGGTGAACCACGAGAAAGGTATGGCTGAATGTTGTAATCGGGCACCGGCGGCCCCCATAAAAAGAAGTTAGGCCTACATGATCATATTTGTAAAAAAATACTTCGCACCGTGCGCGCACACACCTGTGCCCAGAGTAAGCTTCTCGTGAGATTAATTGTTACCCTCATGATGCAAAACTCTCACATTGACCGAACCATAATTAACTGTGCCCGTTGTAACATGGACATGTTGTTGAAATGAGGTCAAATTTCTGGATACCAAAATAAGACAACTGACCCAATCTGTACCTACCTTATCGACGGCATTGACGTCTGCGCCGGCTTGTAAAAGTAAATCACATATGACGTCATACCCACTTCCAGCAGCATAGTGCAGTGGTGATCTGGCGAACTGGTAAAAACAAGATGCAACGGCAGTATAAGAATGATGAGCCTGCAGTGGCGTATTTACCTCTGGTGGAATTCTAGGCGGGCACCCGTGGATGCGTACATTTATAAAAGGGTGCACTAAAGCTGATGAAGTGCGGTTCGTACATCTAGCGGTATGGTGCCTTTCAAATTTTGAAAATGGGGTTGGGGAGTTGTTGTGGCACCGGGTTGGACCTCCACTGGGGGGGGGGGACTTGTCCCCCATGCCAACTTTGTAGTTACGCCACCTGAAGGGACATTATATTTCTTTCGGTATGACCAAGGGTGGAGATTTCTTGTCACATATGTGGGGCATGATTTCTGAAAGGCCATCCTTGTGCAGCACGGCATGCAGGGTCCAAGGTACTACTTCAGGCTACGGGTGCGCATAACGTGGGTGACTTGAAAGGTGTGTGTGTGGGGGGTGATTATATTTTTAAATCTCCGTAGGTCAAAAAGTGATATATATTCTCCACCCCCGAGATCTCCGCCCATAATTAGGACATCCGTACACTCGTACATTCTTACGCGCCTTTCCACTCAAGGTAAGAACATGTGGGTAATGTGAGTTTGCTGGAAAACACCAGATGGTATTTGGAGATGATGATCAAACATCGCCTGAAAGCTGGACTAGGAGTTTCCTATTTCTTATAGCACATGACAGGCCCGTTCCCCAGTGGTTGTGAGAGACGGGGGGGGGGTTTCTCAAACCCCAAAGTGGAATTTTTGTCGCTGTAAAGACATATTTTATACAAAGGACTATCACAATGGGCTTTGGAACTCAACGTCGTATGATATGGGCATTATAAAACTGAAAAATGTATTTATTAAAAAATTAAAAAAACAAAACCCAAAAACAAACACGGAGCGAAACTCAGAAGCAAACGGGGGGGGGGGTTCGTTTAAACTCCCAGTCTACAACGATTTGTTTCACGCGAATTTAATTAGACCGTCTCAGACGATGAAACACGTTCATGGGGCTTCCAGTGGCGTAACGAGGGCTTAATGTCGGGTGCGAGGGGTGCACATGTTTTCTCAATGAGGCACCAATAAGCTGCAGCTGCATAGCTTCGTAAACTCTACAGAGATTATCCACAGATTTCAAGCAAGGGGAGGGGGAATCCAATGGGGTTCCCCCCATAGTTACGCCACTGGGGGATGCGCTGAACTTACTAAGGCGAAAATAATCCAAGACTTGATAGCATGGTGCCACGGTAATTTTCGTCTCCAGCTGGCCTATTCTCGTGTGTATTACAGGCCCTACACCCAGTACCGAATGTAATGCGTTGGCTCCTTCACTCCGTCTAGTTCATTGTGTTCTAGCTTTCACTGAGTGAGGCAAAATAAATCAAACTTGCAAGCGTAGCTGATATATTATTATTATTATACAGACAGTTGCAGATAAAAACTGTATCTATAGGGTCATAGGTTCATTCTGAAACTTTATTGCATTACTTTAATGTATAGCCCTTGTGTTCACATGTAAATCACAACTTCACGATAGAGATTATCAGAGTTGGGGCATTTCCGCAAAGTGATGCCTATAACACAGCTAGAAACGGTTCGGACCCTTTAGGTCTCAAAGATCGGATGCCTGCTAAATTCGAATGAAATGCAATTTGGAATGAAATGCAAGTAGGGAAATTTCATTCGCATTTTAAAAACATGTTAGAGCTTTAAAAATGTGTTCGAATCTTGAAAATATAGGCCTGTAAGGTCTGTAGAATACCGTTTTAGTACATTATGAGATCTAAACACGGGTTCATTTTTTAAGGAAAGGCATTCTGTTTCTACAAAAACATGTTTTGGATATCCAACTTTTAACCAATTTGTTAAACTTACCAGCAATGCTATATCTCTGGCATTGATGTTTGCACCTTCGTTGATGCATTTTGTCACTGTTTGACTGTCCCCGCTCATAGCGGCAGAAAGTAATCGGTCAGTAGCAGTAGAACCCATGGTAAGTGCTGCGGTGCAGTGTTTCTCCCTGTAGTGATCCAAGGAAGGAACTACGTATTGCTCACAGACCCATGTCCTACAACTAGTCCGCCATGAATCGGAGAAGAACGCAATTTAAAATGCCAGACAATCCTACGCGTTTTCACTGAGGGTTCTGAATTTGATATGCCTACATCAACAGAAGAATGTCAATTGACTTCAGTACTTCGTGTGATCCTGAACGAATTTCGTTCGGGTCTTAAGGACCCTTGAAGCCCAGCATTACAACCATGGAAGTAAGGTTATGATCATTAGTCATCATTGTGTCTGTAGTTGTAGGCCTCAGACAGCGGAAACAGTGGATTACATTTATGCCAATGTCTAAAACTCACGTGGGGTCATCAGAAGGGCAACTCGATCTCGATAATTGCACCTCACCCAAAAGGCTTAGAGGACGAACGAATCAAATTGATATTGATGTGTATTCGATCAATAATAAGTTGTCTTTCCCTAATGGTCTTCTTTTCTAAACGAATGGATAAAATAAGCAAACTACTACAGCAAGTTGCATATGACATACTTCGATTTGTGAGAAAAAAATTATACTGCAAGTCTGTGTCTTTTGTGATTTCATGAGCATTAAATTTGTTTGAATTGGATTTATAAAATGAAGAAAGACGATCCAAAGCACTTTATCTAGCCGACTACCAAACGAAGTTACACGCAAATAACCCCAAAGTTGGACCGGGTGAAAAATGCTTTTTCTTAGGAGATATGCGGCGGATGGTAGCACTATGAACAAGTCTATCTAGGTGTAAATACGTAACTACAGGGGGCGCTGCGTGCAGTACCCGGCAAGTGGTTGAATAGAGTTCGAGTGAGCGACCGGTAGATCTGGGCCGTACATGTAGATAGCGACTGACTTCTCAATCAGGTTGATTCCGTAACCGGCGAAACCTTGGTCAGGAAATTTGGAGATCATAACTTATGTAAGCGTTAAAAAGAAACAAAGAAAGAGGTAAGTGGAAATTGCACGTCCAACCTACCGTTTAGCCTAATTGAGGGGCTTAGGACTAATGCCTCCGCACTGGGCCCAAGCTGATGTGATGGTGGTAATTGTGAGCTAACATGGTGAACACAGGCAAGCATTTACATGCAGGCCTACAAGGCTACATCAACTGGAAGTTGAAGATAGGCCTATGTGATTGCTTGACTGATCGCGTCTGAGTGGTTAAAGGGGAAGAATTCCATATACGAAGTTCACTGTAATATCGCGTTATTACTACAAAAGTATCCTTACTTTGATCGCTGAATGAAGACGATTCCAATAGGCATTGAAGAGCTGAAAATCATAGGACAGAAATGTGGAGTTTTGGGCACACTTTTGGAGCTACACATGGACCAGGTTTACATCGACAGGCGGCCATCTTTGCTTCTGAAGAACATGGCGAATGCGCACGACGTGTGCGCATGAACCAAATCATATCCGGAAAGAACCGTTATGTAACAGGGGTTGGGCTGCCACAAGCATTGAGGTAATTTTATGCATGAATCCGCAACACGAGGAGTGCAGCCCTACTGTACATGTACATGTACAATTTT